TTTTTTTTTTTTTTTTTCTACACTCTTTCTTTTTTATAAGAATATACGTTATAAGCATATCGAGGCTGAAATTTGCGAAATTTTAAGAATATTTTAAGAATAAACTCGAGGCTGAGATTTTGAAAAGAATATAAGTTTTTGTGTTGACTGATTTGTGAATGCAATTACAGTCCGACCCTTAAGCGGCCACCTATTAAACGGCCACCCCTATAAGGCGGCCAGCAGTCAAAACTCTATTGTTTTAAGGAGTCATTTTCCATTTCCCCGAGGGTGGCCTTAACTTCACAAAAATTCTTCCTTCCCTAAACGGTAAAACAAGCCAAAAAACAACAAAAACAGCCATCGCTGTATGTTCGATCTAATAACATTTCTGTTGGCATAGTCACAAGAATGTTTTCAGCCTAAAATCGGCAGAAAAATAAGAATATTCAGTCTGGGCCGGAAAAACAATATTCTTACAAAAAAAAAAGTGTATTTACTTCAAATTTCAAGACATCATACTGAAGCATATAAAAGGCAGATTTTGTTTCCAGTCAAAAACGTCACCGGATTCAGTAGACTTCCGCAGTTTCAAACTCTGCATTCTAACAAGCTGAAACACATTTTCCTTGGATTTATGTTAATTTTTTATGGTCTTACTCGAAACCTGTCGTACGAACAAGAAGTCGAACAAGTAATAAAGACCCAGTTCCTGCCCGGCCTCTTTGGTAGTGGTAAGAAAAGAAGAAAATATTACTTTTTATGACACAATGTTAGCTACACTTTGTAAGCTAGTGTGAAAAATTGTGTCGCTTGATTTTAAATATTTAGTTGCTTATAAGACGATGCTCCTCACAAAATGACATCATAATGAGAATTTTCTTCTGCATGAATTACCGTATCCAAGGTCATCCAAGGATTATCGTGTTAAGAGTCACGTCTCAAGCTAGTCGACGTGACCGTAACTGCTTTGGTAGATCACACTCGAACAAGTCATTTATGCACAATTTTGACGATCGCAAGGCGACTTTGGGGTTAAATAAAATATATCTGTCTTATTGCCACATAATAAGGTTGTTGCTGTCATTCTGGCCCATTGTTCGGCTACAGACTAGACTATTTTAAAATATTTCGCGGATTTGTATCTGTTTTTCACCCGCCAAATCACACCGGAAGTTTAATACAGCTTCTTACGTATAGTTCTGTAACGAAATACAGGATTTTTAAAGGGTCGTTGCTATGATTATCATTCTAACGGGTTCCATTACTAAAACAGGAATATTTACATTGTTGTTAGAAAAGGTGGCGTGGAAATTATAATTAATGATATCAAAAGACATGTAAAACACAGTGCTATTAGTATAGACGGCGTTATCTGTATTCCCTCCGGTGCCATTTCTTAGACACGTTTTAATTGGCTCCTGGAGACAATATAGTGTCAAAATGAATAAAACATTTATAAACGCTTTTGTGATTGGTCCATAGCTCGAGAAAGCTGTGATCGAGTCCAGCAAGCGCTGTAGCGATTGTGTGCTCCGTTACTGCGTTGCAAAGAGAGTTGTAAGCTAGAATTGTCTTTCCTTAATGAGAGACTGCCGTCTTTAAGTATCTATTTACTCCAAGTGATATTTCAGAGGTATTTCTGGAGGTTCTTATCGTATCTGAAGGCGATTTTTCGGCTGCCGTTATCCAAAGGAACCTTGCAGAAAATTTGCTGGGATGCCGCCATGATTACAGTTTGAGGACTCCAACCTTTTCATGTTTGTCTGCTGAATCATTCGCTTGGAACACCAGAGTATTGCTAATGTGTAGCGTCGATTAACAGCCATCAAACTGGATCCACTAGAAGACTTCGATGCGTCCAAAATGGACGATTTCAACGATGATGGTGAGGGAACTGAACGATATAATTGCAAATGAAACAAAGTGCGCTTTAAACATTGTGTTATGGGGAAGCCTGGAAGTTATGGCGGTTTTTTTCATGCAGACGGCAATTAATTGTGTATTTGTTGTTTATCAGATGATGGAATACCGGACAAGTCTTCGCATGGTAGACTTCGAAAGAGAAAAGCTAACCAATCATTCATGATCAAAGAGTAAGTCTGCTTTAGAACTGTCCCAGACAAGCTGAAGTCTGGGACAAACTAGCTGTCTAGCCGAGCTTTCTTTGATAGAAATGCGTTGAACGCACTTGTATCAAAGTCTTTTTAAAAATTTATACCTTTCGTACTGTACAGGGAAGATTCAGATGACGATGACATCGAAAAAGGAGATAGCAAAATGCCCAGGTAAAGCATAATTGTCCATTTTCTCGACAGGAAACTTTTGAACTTTACTTTGCAGTAATAACTTAGGTTGTTAGTTCGGTAGGAGGGACGGCTAAAACAAAGACTCCGTTTGTCGAACAGTTGTTTTGAGATTGAATTAGGCAAGTTTATGTATTTCCTGTGGTTGTTTGCTTTTTGTTGAAGATTTGCACTCTTTTAGCGGTGCGTTTTTGACCGAAGGCGCTTTGCAAAGGTCGTGATTTTAACACAGTAAAGGTCGTTTGTTTTTAATAGCAAATCTCCTGTTTATAACGAGAGTTCATGGCCAAACTCTCCTTTTCTATACAACTATAAGTGTACTATACAATGCTATTTAACTTTAATACGACGTCTCTTTTTATATTTACAGAACATCAGACGAAAATAACAAGGAAAAGTTTGCAAGGTAGATATTCTATTACGTTTAAATTTATCGATCGCTACATGTCAAGTTTTCTAGTTTTGTTTACTTTTATCCAAGATCGTTTGATTCGAAAAACGAATTTTTAAAAACAAAAAACGGAAAATGTACTTTTTGTGGTTCATGGCAATCGTCGATCACCCATGGTCGCTTTAATTCCAAGGGCCCGGGAGAAGTATCTGTAGTTTTTTGTTCCACCAGATGCTTTGTTTTTTAACGGAACATTTTACATGCGAACATAAAATATTCTAACTAAAGGTCAAACCAAACCTGAAAAATATACATTGTACACGTTGTTAGATTGTCATGCAAGGCTGGTGTTAGAAGGAAAATGTTTTGTCCTGGACTAAGATCATCAAAACAATTAATCATATATGTTTTGTTTACTCTTGCAAATGGCAAATCTTTGCTGATAGACGAGGCTAGACGTACGGTAAACATGGTGGCCAGCTTTGTTTGGTGAATTTTTAATGTGTCTTGTTGGTCCACATAAAAAAACTTTGCACAAATGTATAGTCATACTTGATTGTACAATTCAAGTTACATGTTACATTGTACTTTCTCATTACTTGTAGTACATATTTTAGATCAACAAGCTACCTGGCACCTTATGAAGTCTTTTCTCTCATTACCAGCATGTAATTTCAGAGATAGTTCATGACGTTTTGTTGAACTGTACAATGTAATATAGGCGATCCAAAAAAATTGATATACAAGTACAAAAATGTTTGAAATATATATTTAAAAAATATTTGATGTATATACAAGAAAGTGAGATAATTTTGAAACAAGAAATTTTGATATCCATATACCAAAAAAATACCCTTCGGAGACATTGTATTGGACATTTCAGAACGTTGCTGTATATTTTATTGTACAAGTTTCGCACACGCCGGAAAAGTTGAGTTGTAATGCACAGTGAATCAACACACTTTAATGTCTGATGAGAGATTTCTAATTACATATTTTCCTTTGCAAGAATTCTTCCTGTCTTTGAACTGTGTTTTCCAGTTATACTGTTATGATCAGGAACATGAGAAGAGAACCACCAGATCTTTAGATCAACTTCCTATGATGCAAATATTATGGGGAATTGTAGTTGTTTCATTCACCATTTGTATATTGTCAGTGTGGACTAAATATTGTGTCTAATTTTCATCTGACACTTTTGTATGAATGTTTGAGAAAAACTGTGTTCTTGTACCTTATTTTGAATGGGAGTTGTATTGTAATCAACTGCAAGTTTGTGAGATGCTGTTAAAGAATATGTTTAAAAGAGAAACAAGATACGATGACAATTTTCATCTGATCGCAACTAATGAGTGCCACACCCACTACAGTGCATGGTTGATTTTGCCAAAGGAAGATATAATAACTGTTATCCATAATTTTTGTAATTTTCCAGACATCGGACTAACTGGTATTAACCTTTATTTTCATTTACCCTTGCAGGGAGAATCACAGTGAGATTGAGAGAAGAAGAAGAAATAAGATGAATGCATACATAAATGAGTTATCTGATATGGTACCATCTTGTAACGGCTTGGCCCGTAAACCTGATAAACTCACCGTTCTTAGAATGGCTGTGAACTATATGAAGTCCCTACGAGGATCTGGTATGTAGTACACAAGCTTTTGCATTTCACATTTGTACCTAGTGATAATGTTGATCAACAACAGGTATCCAAGAGGTCCATACCATTGCAACAACAGTCCTTTAAAAAGCTGATAGGACTGGCCATAATAATTGAGAGACTATTTTATAACTTGATTTATTAAGGATACAGTCCAGGAATATGGCCAGTTGGCAGGGGTTTCATTAATGTTTTCAGCAGAAGGACAACTGGTTTTCTCAGGCAGGCAAAACTTTTTGAACTGAACTTCTTTGTAAGAAAAACATTTCTCTAGATGATCAAATCAAGTCCACGGACAAAATCATCCTCACAGCAGGTCAATTTACCCAGTGTCCGGCCCTTAATGAAACTCCTGCAGATGGGTGTCTAGATTGTCTTTGGATGCCCACTTGTAAGAAAAAATTACTTTTTAACCTCTTGGATTTTGAATTGCTGTTTCACGCTGGCTTWATAGGAAATTTTGGATGCCACTAATAATTATTATTCAGAGATATTCTAAGGGAATTTTTAAAAGGTGTGATCTTAAGTAAAGTGGCTTCTCCAAAACACCACACAACGTCCTTGGCCAGGACTTGAACCTGGATCACTCAATCCAGAGGCAAGTGCACTGGCTTCAAGGCCATTACACCTTCAACTACTTGTGTAGCTCTAGAAAAGTGTTTCTTGGCATAATGGCCAACCCAAATGTCCTCTTTGTAATATGCTACATTCCTGTAACCATCAGGAAACCATTGTTTGTTAATTTCTGTTCTTAACTTTTTAAATTCATTCTATAACTGTTATTTTCTAGGTCAGGGTGCTGATGTTGCCTACAAGCCTTCATTTTTGTCTGATCAAGAACTTAAGCACCTTATATTGGAGGTAAAACTGTCCATAAATGTATTTAAGGAGTGGGAAGAAACAATTCCAATCAGACTGAAAATTAATTCTACACAAATTGCCAGCAGTTATAAAGAGAAATTTGACTGTTTCTCAGAAAGGTGCAAGTTTTACAGTGAGATAAGTCAAGGGTGATGTTACTGCAGACATGTTCCTTCTTAAGAGAGGGCAGTGTCTGGGAGGTTCTTGTTAGTGAGGGGTTCTTATTTGTGATATCTGCTCTACAGTAGTATCCATGGCCACTTTCCAGAAGAGACCACTTAAAAGGCTCTGATAACTAGGCTATCTTTTCTTGCAACTCACCATGCAATTTTTTGCCCTGTTGCATGGCAAGTTGTGGAAGACATTGCCCAGTGTGACACTCCCTGAAATGGACACGTCACACAACATTTTTGTTGCAGTGATCATTGTTAAAGTAAAACATGATGTCCAGTAGTGTTATGGCTGCATTCCCATCTATCATCTTGATGTTACTCTGTGTGATGCTTGCATGAAAAGTCATTTCAAAAGATGTCTGTTACAGTGGGCAATTTTTTTGCATAACTTGTGTCGTGACAAAATTGGGAGACAAGGTACAAGAAAATTTGTCTAGTGCAGAATGACTTTGAAGAGATGGGCCAACATGTTGATTAAGGAGAGGCTTTCTCTTTGGAGACAAGATTGTTTACTTTAGAGGTGCCAGCTTAATTTAATTGTGTTCTTTAGGGAGTTGGACTCCAATTTTACTGATTGTCTACTTAACAGCAGCAGTTACTTCTGCAAGATTTCCATTTAGAGAAAGAAATTACTGTCCTTTCCAATCACTTTGACACCAAGGTATTTGTTAAACAATCTTTTTGTTTTCTTCTTCTTCACAGGCAGCTGATGGTTTCTTGTTTGTCGTAAATTGCAACACTGGAACTGTGGTCTATGTTTCAGACTCAATTACTCCAGTCCTTAACCAGCCTCAGGTGATCTTAAGATTCAGTTAATATATATAAATACTATAGTTACAGACAAGGTATAGTCAGCTTTAGGTGAAATGGAATCCTGAAATTATACTCAATTTACAAAACTAGTGTCCCATAAGTGCTGGAGTTCATTATGAATTCTGGGCATAAGGTTACTAGGCATGTATTTGTACTATCCTCTATAAGAGTGATATGTCAAGTGCATTAACTTGTCATCCACTGGACCCCCTGATGTAGTTGGCCACTCAAATGTAAGGCTACAATCCTCCATTTAAAGTAAAGTCTGTATATGAGTCAAGTGGCCCATCAGGCCAGCTCTTATCTTCAGTTTCTATGTAGTGTGAAGCAACTAGGGGTATTTCTACTCCCCCCTGGGCTGGGTGCTAGTCCATTGCTAAGTTGCCCTTCAGGATTAAAATTGCCGGTACCCATTCATACATCAGGGTGGAGAGAGGCACTGTGAGAGTTAAGTGTCTTGTCTAAGAACACAACACAATGTCTCCAGCCAGGGCTTGAACTCAGACCACCCAATGTTGAGTGAACTAACCGTGAGGATGCGGTGCCTTCTACAATCCTCCTTTAAAATAGCATTGTAAATTCAGAACTTAGGAGAATGTTCGTGGGATTGATGATGTTTAAATTGAACTTGACCAATTTATCATTATTTGGAAAAATAGGTTTTACTTCTATGTAAGGAAATTTTGTTTCTTTTTACAGAGTGCTTGGATGAATCAAGAGATATTTGACTTAGTGCATCCTGATGATGCAGAGAAAATAAGAGATCAGCTTTCCGCCACTGAGTCACCCGATGCTGGAAGAGTTCTTGATTTGAAAAGTAAGAGCCACTGTTTTGACAAATTATTTACTAGTCTGTTGTTTAGCATGTAATCAGCACTCATGCCTAGTGAAAAAACATTTGGCGACTAAATTTTGTGAACGGGTTGCCAGTTTGGTGACTAGTGCAGTACAAAAGGCGGTCTGCTCAACAACAAGGTTTTTTTTTTTTGGTATAATCACTAAGCCAAACAAATTCAACCACAAGTTTTGCCCGTTTGTCTTCCTTACCTGTTTTTACTTTCCTGAACAGTAGGTAAGACTGTTCAACAAAAAATGGTGATATCTGAAAACTTTGAACTTGGAGTGCTGGTAATATTTAATTATTGGCCAGTAATGCCTTCTATTTATATTAAGCCATGTTAATTGAAAAGCCATTTGATTTAAGTTTTAATTTCTTATTTTAAGATGAAAGAAGTGTTATTTATTTTTGTTGTGTTCCTCTTTATAGCTGGAAGTGTTAAAAAGGACAGTCATGGAGGTAAGAACAGTTCTTTGTTGAAAGTTTTGAGTCTCATGAGGGTGATATTTGGTACAGTGTATCGATGTCAACTTCCCTGGTGTTAATTACATTCAAGTTACATTGTAACCTGTGCATCCAAAACAAGCAAGATAATTAAAACGACAAAACATGCAAGAGTTTGACAATTTATTTCTTTTGTAATTACTGACCAGTCTACTGTAACAAGAATGTGTATGTATTTTGATAACATGCTGAGCCCTCTCTGAAGACTTGTCCTACTCAAATGGTGTGGTGTGAATCAGATTGCTGTAAAAAAATATAATTGCAATATTTGTGTACCCACAAAACCGAGAAGAACTCTCATGAACTTGTTAGAAAAGTTTTAGTGCATCAAGATCAGATTAGAACTTGGAATGTTGGTTTTTGTGGAGAGAGGCAAACTAGAGAATCCAGAAGAGAACAGAAAAGAAGAGAAAACCCTTGGAACATGGATGAGAACTAACAACAAATGCAACCAACTTATGATGTTGTATCCAGGATTCCGATCCATATTACATTGTTTGTTTGTGGTGGTGGGGGGGGGGGGGGGGGA